GTAGTCGGTATGAGGGCTGAAACATGACGGACGCATCTTCAAGCAAGGATTTATTGACTGGGAAAAGTTGACTTAATTTAAAGGAACGTTATTCTTCAAAGTGAACTAATGATGATGTCTTCCTGAATTATCAAATTCAGGGAATTCAACTTGGACTTCGCTAAGGGAGTGACGGAACTTCCGAAAGGGGTTTTTGGAAATGTGACCTTCCGGAGAATCTACGTTCTTTATACCAACTTGGCAACCGTGGATCCCTCAGCAATGCTTTCTTCAAAGGACCGACTCGAGGAAGTGTTAATTTGGTCCAACCTCCTGAAAGACTTCCCGTTTCAAATCCTTCCTCAATTGACCAAGCTGAAAAAATTGGAACTCCCAAGCAACCAGTTGAAGGCAGTACCCGCCATTGAAAGCCCCAGTCTGGAGATCCTGGATCTTTCACGCAATGAAATAGAAACACTTGAGCCAGGATGGTCCGTTCCGAACTTGCAGACATTGAGTATCAGTAAGTAAGAACATGCATCAAATGCAAGAATATTCCGTGTTGCTATGCATACTTTAAGGTGTCAATGTCATTTTCCCTGCAAAGTCATTGAATAGCAAAGTTCTCGAAAATGATAATATCATTTTCTTGCATGTATTGATGATTTTTTTTTCAAAATAGTATTTGCGGAATGAGCATACTGGATGCTTCTGACATATTGAAATTAAAGAAAGGCAATGATTTTGACGTCTTCCCATTTTTACCCGATAGAGAGCAACCTCATCACGGAGCTCCCTGCTGGACTGCTCCAGGGAATGAAGAACTTGATACATTTGTATGCTTCTGGCTGCCATCTGGGACCGATTTTGAAGAATGGATCCTTGACATTCGGGAGCACGGTCTTGTCAGAGGTGTTTCTCGAAATAAATAAAATCGCCAGTCTAGAACCAGGAGCCATCGCAGGTTATGTCTCTCATTACTCTGATCTTAAATGAAATATCTAAAAAAAAAACACAGAAAACGTTGCAGTTTTAGATGAAGCTCATGAATAAAAAAAAACCTTTTTACTAAAGTTCGTGAAACGACTCACTTCAAATCTAAGTCCAACACGAAATTTATTCTTTTTTGTTTGGAAAAAATCGTATACAATTGGGTTTTCGTCACATCAATTCCTGAGGAGGGAGGAACTGTGAGTTTAATATGTTTCTTATTGATGGGATCGGATGAAAGAATCAAATTTCATTTTTCAATTACAAAAGAATTCAATTACTAAGGAATAAACTTCTTGAAAATAAATGGGAAAACTGGTTATGATCAATCGCATCCATTTTCCAAAAGTATTTAAATAAACTGGCCTCCAAGTAAAAAGACGTCTTCAATCGCGAAACACGACCCTGAAACACTGTATTCCTTTACAATTGGTGAGGCGGATACGCTTGGCATTCCATCTTTTCTAGCTCCGTAGGGACTGGCTAGTCTCCCATTGGCTTTATCTTTATCTTTACAAAAAGTCTATGTTTAATTTTCTTCTCATACGCTAAATAAATTAGCGATCATTTCATCCCCTCACAACATTCTTGCAAACCATTGCATATCTATCAAAAAGAATCGAAACGCCGCAGAATTATACAGAGTGTTCGTATTTAAACAAAACATAATGAATATTTTGCCGCCATTAGAAGGAATTCGGCGAACGTTATAAGGCCCACTTGGTTTCATATCTACATGGAAAAATGGCAGTGATGAGTTTCGTACTTCCAGATATGCAACCCGGGTGAGCTATAAGGCACGCCATGAACTCCCCAAACAGGTGGAGTTTCCAATGTTGCGTTTCAATACGAACACCCTGTATATTGTTTTTCCTCTTTGAGTGTCCAAAATTCGAATCAACCTTCGGTGATCCAGGATGATCTGAAAGCCTACAACCTGTCTCATTGCGCGAATAACACTTCCACCGGCAGCCGCATGCTTACCATTTTTCATGTTTAAGAGTGCATCTTGACGCGTAATGTTTTAAGAGCAGCATCAGGGAAGGAATGTTGTAACGAAACAGCGCACCGGGAAAACGCATAAGTTAAGAATTTTCTATAATTCAATCAGCCATGCAATAATGCAAGCTTGACTTATAATGGAATATTTCTTCAATCTCAATTCTATCGTCAATGACACTCGTTTACTCACCGAACGTATGCAGTTTTCCCATGCTCCTTCCTTGGCGTTCATGTCTAAAGAAAACGTTAACATTCCCATCAACTTGGGTCTTCCTAAAAATCATAATGGAGCGATTTTTTGCAAGAAAAACGTGATTCAAATTGCCTGCAAGTCAACGATGCTCCATTAGTCCTCATACGATATGAGATGAACCGACGAAGGACCTTTCCAGAGATTTCATTGAAATTCAGTGCGAATCATCAGAGCCACCAATAACAATGAAAATGGAAATCACCAATTTAAGCCTGTCAAGTCGCGCGATCCCCCTTTCGCTGCAGTTTCTCACGTCCCAGTCTCTGTGACGTTTTATCGTCCTACGACACATGAACAAACTTCATAAAATTAAAAATTGCGATGGTGACGTGGACGCAATGCTGAAGGAATCGTTCTTAGAACTGAATCGAAAATCGCGAAATGATCCTTGAAGCTGAAATGCCCTACAACCACATTGCCTTGCGTTCGTTTTGCGAAATTGAACAGAAAATTTGCCAGTATGGTCGGTGGATGTTACGGTAAAAGTTGATGATCGATTCACCTCTATCATGGAAATACAAATAAATGCATAATTCCGCACAGCATATATTACCAGCAAATTTGATTTTCTATCCCTGATTCTCATTCCAGGTCTGAGGAATGGTACAAAGCTTCATCTTGAAGAAAATTTGATGACGGAATTGAAGGATGACGCTTTCCTGCCCATGCTGGAGGACCTGGGAGAAAAAGGGAGGATATTTCTTTCATGTTAGTTCTCGTTATGTTAGCTTCAACTCTGTTCATCTCTTCTTCTTTTCAGGCTTCCTCTATTTTTTTTCTAATGACTCTCTCTTTTGCAGCGAACCCTATCCAGTGCGATTCCTGGCTTGCCTTAAGTCTGAACGTCCCAAAATATTTGCAGAGACTTCAGGGGGTGAATTGCAGGTATGAAACTCCTCAACCTCCTCCCAAAGAAAGTTTCTAATTCCAGACCTTTTCCATGGAGCTCTTATAATAGAAGTGTGGCACGTTTTGTTATGAATTGATTCCACGATAGGAGTTTTTCAATCGGCAAAATCTCGGTTTTTATTCTCGTAAGGGTGTTGAAGAGAGCTCTTAGGGTTTTCTTTAAAATTAGTGAGGAGGTTTAATATTCATTGCTTGTGGAAGAACACCAGTTTTTAAGAGTGGGATAAAATAACTTGAACGGTTGAAAATTGTTGGTTATTTGAGACTTCCAACGAAGAGTTTCCATCGGACCCTTCAAGAAAATGGTGCTAACGACCAACAGAAAAATGAATTTCTTACAATTAATCAGTCATATTTCCGGTTTGCAGGTTTCTATTTATTTTTGGTTTTCAAATAAATTAGCTGTGTTTTGACAGATGGCTACGGATAAATTTAAGTTTTCCGAAAGGCACTGAGAATTGTCACTGCTCAGGAAGCAAATCGCGTACTGTTGTCTATGTGTTATGACAGCTGGGCGTGAATCCGTGTTTCATGTGTCATCATATACTCCAAATAACACATCAAATAAACTAGAGAAATTAGAATAAAGTTATATTCAAGAGGTGCTATGCGTTTGAAAATCGAGAAAATCGCGGATATTGTTAATGACATGCTGATGCAGTTTCATCACATTTTATTAATTTTCCCCGGATGTGATGTATTACGTTAGTTCTCTCAATCCTTTCCCGCCAAAAATTGTTTCCAGATGCCTATTTCAAAGAAAGACGGAGAAGGCATTGAAGAGCTAGGGAAAGGAAAACTCTGGGGACAAGGAAAATGGTCGAAGAACTCCCTGAAAAAAATTGGAGCATCTCCAGTATCAATTTGCTTTTGCAAAAGATTGATTAATCAGGTGGCAGTGGTCGCAAGCCCTCGTGCGATCAGTAAATAGCCCACTTGATCAGAGGAGGGACAGATCCGAAATAGTAGCTGAAAACTGAGGAGGTGTCTTTGAATATTTGCGAAGTTAGAGTATTGGTCCTAGTTCCAGTTCAGTCATGAGTAATGAAAATTCAGAGTGCCTTACCAGATAAATTTTTTTCCCAACCTTTTATTCAAATTTTGCATAGTTTTAAAGAAAAGCCGGAAATAGTGGGAAGTTTGCATGCCAGAAATTTGCCTGCTCAATCTTGTAAAATAAAAATTCAGACAAATCTGAAAGTCCAGATATTTGTGTGCCACCATGCATATGTGAAGGGGTGGGAGGAGAGGTGATGCCGGAATATTAATTGCGATCATATCCCAGGATATTCAGACATTCCAAAAAATGCAGAGGGAGTGTTTAACGTCCATGAAATCTGCTCGATTATTAGATAATTACTTCGCTTGTGTGGAACCATGGTTAGGAAATAATGAAGTCAGTCCGAAAACTATCGTGATTTCAACCGTAAAATGTCAATTTATTTTCGCCGTGTTTTCAGTTTCTGAAATGCGAGAAAATGGGTGAAGGTGCTAAATTTCCTTCTGTAAAAAGGCGAAACACATTATTGAACAACTGGTCTATTATCAAATCGGCTATCGGCAACAGCATCCATTTCTTTTAAGATTTTTGCTGACTTTTTTCTAAAAGAAATATCTCTTGAGAACCTATGAGACCAGGCCAAGCTGAATGGGATGTTGGCCTAGACCTACTTCAAAGATCCATTGAAGGCCTGGGTGGCCCTGATATTTTATCGATACTTAATCGGCGCTACAACGAATGGGCAAGAATGGCCAAATGCTGAAATGTTGAGACATGGTTGAAGTTGAGAGTTTAGCGAAGAATACAAAAAAAATTAATCAATGAAATGCCTTTTTGTAGTTAAACGTTTGCCTTCGTCATTATCTCAATGTTGTTTCAAATCGGTCATCTCAACAGAAAGTAGGTTCAGACAAAAAATTGACCCGAGATGGCGCCTAGCCGTCAATTTAGCGATTCTCACCTTGGTTCCCCGAAAAAATACTGTTACCTGTTTATTTTCATACAATACCCTATCTGTTCTCACTTACAACTTGAGAGAACGCATTTGAATTCTTAGATAGACCCGTTCAAGGAGGCAACTAGGCAGAATGAGACTTCTGGCCAGGGGGTCCGAGGAGACATGCCGAATTTCCTACCTCACTTCATGACACAGTGACTTGGGCTCTGTCCATTGAAGTTAATTCCTTATTTCAAAAGGCCCTATCTCCATTACGCAGCGGCTTAGAAATTTAATATTCGGCAAAGATGATGTACAGCCAATGGGATTTATGATAGCTAAGTTTCCAAAATTTTCCAAAAGGTTTCTCGATATTACCATCAGGGGGCGCTGTAAAGGTCAGAGACATGGGTCCGTGCACACTTTGGGAGACGCGTCCAGTCTCTTTTCCAACGTAATTCAGGACTGTGTGATCAGCAGTCTTTCCCACAGGCCAAGCTGCCAAGGTCACAGGATCTTACACCTGCGAACTTCTGGTTGTCTAGTTGCCTAAATTATGGCTGTGGGGTTTACAGTGGCCATCCTGCGAACTTGGCGGAGCTCAAGGAATGCATAACGGCGCCATGCTGTTCCAGATTCTGACATTGTCGTCTGACTATTGCGTTCTGTAGACTACCACTTCATTACATGGATGGGGGTGATGGCTGTGACAGAGGGTAGCCACATCGAATACCTGCAGGTTTGGTCGTGTCATCCACGAGGATATTGGGATATGTGCCGACTTTGGATTGTGTGTTTGGCCGGTATAGCGCCACCCAGGTGGTGACTTCCAAAAACCTTTGAGTGACAGCGTGTTAACCGGCCTCCGAATTTGTGCTTCGCTCTCCTGCATGGGCGCCAAATATGGAGGTGATGCCAGACATGTAACTCCCTCATTAGACAGAAAAGGTCGTGTCATTAGAGTACTAAACTCGTGTTCTGATCCAGTGACTGAAGTTACTTGAAAGGACCCTTCTGCGGTATAGTTGCACTCAATCGACCTCTTTCAAGCTCCTCAACGCGTTCACGCTTGCGCTCAGTCTCAGGTAAGGGAGGAGGTAATGCCCAAAAGTTGAAAATTCAACTCTGGCAAAAGGTGAAACATGATCAAATTTTCAATTTCATTTGCGTTTCATTTCAACATTGCGGCAACAATGAATCCACCTCTTACGCACCAATGTAGGAACGTTGAAAAATCAGACCTCGCTCAGCGCTGACCCTACGTTGTTATGGCGAATGAGTACGCTTTCCAATAATAGAATATTGCCGCATAGGATATCGTTGCGACCGATACATCGAATATGCTATGCATGCTCTTCTGCTTGGGTGCGTTTTGTTTTATCCCTCAGGGCCCTTACGGACATAGGTTTTCCGGAGTTTTTTCCCCAAGGAAAACAAATCCCTTATTATTACACAAATACGTCGACAGAGAAACAAGTACAAAATGGCCTTGCGCCGATAACCGTAAGAAAAAGTGAATAGAGAGCGGAAATCATACTGATGTCGATTTCTCTGAAGAACTGTGTACCAAGACCGAACGTTCCCGCGTACGCAGAGCAAAGGAGACAGATTCCAAATATGATCAGCGGTAGAAAAGACGTTGGTCATGGAGTGGGTCTTGGCGGCAGTTCCCAAGCGCACTTAACCATGATCCTTTTTCAGTGAGAACTATTTTCTCCAGCAATCGTCTTCCAGCGACAGGGGACCAGACAGGGAATTTCAGAATTGAAATTCCCTGTCTGAACACCCCGACTAGTTGAAAGTCTGAACGAGATGTGGCTGAAAAGTTCAAATACATTTTATGGCTTGTTGGAAAAATATGTGAGGTTCACGTTGTTTGTGGGGAGGAAAGTCCAGATGTAGACTATTTATTTTGAATTTGTTAAATCTCGCATGTTTATGGCATTTCCACGTATCGTTGTTTATACACATACTTCGTCATGTTTCGTGAATCCATGCCATTCCAATAAAACCATTATGACTAATAGCTATTCTGAATTGCGATACAAATATAATTGATCATGAAATGAATCACCCCAGTCAAGTTTTCGAAAGTCGGAGAAATATATATATGGAATTGATGAAACTCATGATAATAATAATGGATTTTAGGAAATATAGTAACCAATGTAGGTGATCCGTTTCAGTGTCACCATTCACCCCTTACGAAACAGTATATAGGATTTGTGTAAGCTTTCTGTACCAAAGTTAATTTAGGGATCTTAGCGGACGCATATAGGACCTTATGAGATTCATTAAGGAATTCTATAATTTTTTGCGGCCAAAAAATATTAGAATTGATTTGGGATTGTTATGCACGTTAAGGGAAAAGTGTTATTCGTTAAGGGAATAGTAAGGAAATTCACATTAATAAAAATGAAACGAAAGAATCCAGTCTGAAGTGCAGGTTTCTTTCATCTCCATTAGCATATGCCCTAGCCCCAATGCCATTTCACCCTGTACCTGCTCATATGATGAAGTCACAACGGGAATGACGGTGGATTGCTCTCGAGCGAATATTCAAGAAATCTACACGGCATTCAATAATGTCACCTGGATCGCTTCCCATCTGAAGTGAGTGATGGCTGTATTCCCTTTCGGTATTCCTCCTTTTCTTGTAGTTAGGGAATATATTTTGCGACGATTTTGAATGTCGGATTATGCATTTTATTGCACCTCACCTGAAATTTGATTAAATGTTCGGGTAGCTTTCTTGGAAATTCTGTAGTTTTGCATTAGCTGTTTCATACGTGGCGGAGGAAAGGAAATACTAAAGAAGCGAAAATATGTTAACTTGCTTGCAATTCAGAACTAGATTACGCAGTTTCCATTGGAGGCAGGTTGCAACGAAGCAACAAGGGATGACTCCTGAAACGAGTTCTTAATCTAGTTTTTTTAGCTGTTCAAGGAAAAAATGAGTCACGAAACATGTAAATATGATGATTGGGACGTCATCAGAGAAAGAAATCGAGTATGCTTTGACCACACTATGTACATGCACATGCACATGTCGATGGCGTTCATTTACGATCATCCACTCGTCTCCAAAGCAAAAGCACGACCGAGAATGAGTTGAGCGATCTTACTGAAAATTGATACACAAGCTCGTACTTGTGTAACATCATATCCACTAGTTTCAAGGGTATCAGATATATATTCACAGAGAGAATTCTTCAAATAATGTAATCCAATAGTAAGCCAAATGGTCATACGAATCGTACGAAATGGTCTGTAAGGTTTCAAAATAGAACGTTTAAGTAAAATTAAAATTAGCAGGAAACATGTTAAAAGTGCAGAAAATCGAACAAAGGTTCGAGTTCGTTAAATGAGGCGATGGAGCGAAAACGCGACAAAATCCCTAGGAATATTAGAACAGGCGACGCCGTAGAAGGTGCTCCTTTTTTATAGCTGCCCAAACCCACTACGATACAGATTCGTCCGTGAGAGCTTGCCTATATGGCACTACCACGATTCAAACTCTGCAGGCATTTTTAGGAAGTTGTTATAGTGTTTGCTGAGTGGAGGTTAAAGGGGATCCACAAGTTCCATGTATCGCCTTGTACCATTAATGCATCAGGCTGATGCATGGTAAGCATAATGATAAGGGGACGAAATCCGTCCTTATTTCACTGTATAGTATTGAAGGCAGGTTTCTCTCCTTACCCACACATTCTCGAGATTCAGTTTTTCCTCACGAATACTTGATGAAAACTGCTGAAAAAGCCAATTCACGAATGTAACTACCTGGATTCCATTTTCTTATGGATGGGTTCTGCGGAGATCTGAGCCGATAGTGCTCTGTTACAAGTTATTGACCATAGTCGCTATTGTCTCATTTTGTATCACCAGTTTATAAACACTGTCAAATTGCACCTATATAACAACCTGGACTAATTTTCGCTTTTTAGAAGCATTACAGCGATTCTTTTTTTCGTTGAGAAAAATGAAAGGCAAGGTGTGAAAATCTGTTGTGGTTACCTATACTTCTTCCTGATATTCCACAACGGGTCTGTGTTTTCTATTTTCTTTCAGAAGCTATGGTGGACGAAGTGAATTCTATATGCTAGGAAATTCGGCTGTGCAGCACCTCCCGGAGAGGGTGTTCGGGAACATGACCTTTGATGACATTATCATTTCCGAAACCAGCTTGGTCAGTGTGGATCCCATGGCATTGCTTTCATCAAAGAATCGCCTTAAAATACTAATCATCAGCAATTCCACCTTGGAAGAATTCCCATTTCAAGTCATACCTCAAATGACCAATCTCACAATATTGGAAATCACCGACAGCCCCTTGAAGTCATTGCCAGCCCTCAGAAGCTCCAGTCTGGAGATTGTGCGTCTTTCGCACAATCGCATAGGCAGACTTCTGCCTGGATGGTTCATGCCCAAATTGCGGAAACTGGATATCAGTAAGTATTTCAAACAAGGAGTACCCCGAATTCGAGAGAGGTTTGGATCTCTCAAATGTCTCTCTTAACGCTGTTATTCACTGGCAAGCTGCATGACCCAGTTTCTCGTGAAATACACAAAATGTACGTTATTTATTGAATTGCCATAGGGCATCAGAAAAAGTATTTACTAATACTTTGAAATGGTATTATTGATCTAGAGTCGTCTAGGTTTGGAAAATTGGCCCTTCATTCTTAGATGTTCTCGTTACAAAGACGGCAAGGGCTTATAATGAACGCGTCCATTCTTTTGAAATGCTTCATCAACTTGGAAAGCACAAACGCGTCATATTCTCCTGTTCCATTGCAGGTAACAATCCGATTCCAGAAATTCCTCGTGGACTTCTCGAGGGCTTCAGGAATTTGACGTCCTTTGATGCGTCTCATTGTAACCTGGGGCCAACTTTGTCCAATGGATCCTTGGTATTTCACAGCAAGGACTTGTCTAATGTGTCCCTTCGATTCAATGGCATTGTAAGACTGGAACCTGGAGCCATTGCAGGTTAGACTTGATAGTGTCTTCTGACTTCGCTCTGAAAGCTAAACAAAGAAATTGAAGCATATTAGCAAACATGATTCTAAGAACCGTATGGAATCCATCCAATGAGGAATCTGTTGTGTGCCCGATGAGAGGAATGTCCACCGGGTTTTGCTTTTGATGTAGAGGACCTGGTGGGTCTCTGTGACGGTCGCATAGTGTTCACTCTGGGATGAGGGAGCGCAAGGCGTCGCGTTGTTAATTACTTAGGAAACTTACGGGACTTAGGTAAACAACCTATTTACGTGTATTTTCCAGGGCCACATATAAGAATGAACAACCTTTAGGCCTGGCAAGACTTCTGGGCCCGTTTTACCTTCTTTGGAAGTTTTAATTATAATGGCTAATGACAATTGAAAATGTCAATGACAAATTAATTAATTCGTTATTACAGAATATGCCTTGTCAATGTAGGACTGAAGGAGATGACCTTGAATTTATGAATCCATATGCGGTTCTTTATGGAATATAACTTTTTCTCCAATGCTGCTATTCCCACATTCTATCAGTGGTGTGAACTTTTTGGAAGTAGCATATCACATTAACTTTGAAAAAAAAGTGACGTTTTTCCACTTGATTCAAGAGCCATATTTGCGATTCATTAATCGTCATCAGATGTATTTATATCAAGAAAATGTGTAGGTGAGAGTATTTGGAGTTTGTAGATGCTTGTAGAAGTTTTGTTGAAAAAAATGCTTTCATCATATTTGTATGAACACAAAGCCAAACTCGAAGGGCAAAAGAAGCTCTTCATATTTCCAACAATATTTTCCTATTTCAGGTCTCACAAGAAATACATTGGTCGACCTTAGTGGCAACAACATCACGAGATTGACAGAAGACACATTCCGACCTATGCTTCAATTCCTTTCCCAGCAGAAATCTGGGATCATCATCTCATTGAGTCAGTTCCATGGTTGTCTACTGTTCCTTACAATGGTCTTTTTATACACCTTTTTACAATGGCCCGGGTATGTCTATGCATGTCATTTGCCTGGTTTCTAAATATTGAAGAGAATTCCATCAAGTGTGACGAAGGGCTCGTTGACAGCGCCAACTCAGCGAATTTTCAAGATGGAGTGAAAAGGGTGGATTGCAGGTACGCATTTTCTGAAGTCTTCCAAAATGACACCATATTCGTCTTCTGTTTCACGTGCGAAGCCATCCTGATGCGAGAAAAGTCTTACTTCTTGATTTAACTTGCATAAAGTCTGTTTTTATCTATGTCGTTGTTCAGACAAAAATTATAACCGTTTTTGTTCCACAGGACCTACATGTGGTCGATCAAGACTATGGTTCGGCCACGTAGCACTAATAGGGTAAATCGATGTAATGAATTATATTGTGGTCCGTGGTTGTAGTGGTTGTCGGTGGCATGTGCGTTCTCCCCAAAGAATCTTCTGCTTGCCTCTAGGTGTACATCTCCCTCTCTCGGGCTCACATTTTTTCCAGCTTTTGCGACTGTCGGATCTATTCTCAAGAACGTAATAGCCCCGGGAGGGAGGAGTTCGGATGACAAACAAGGACGAAAAGAAAATGTTACAGTTGCGAATCGAACTCATGGCCTTCTGATTGCTGGTCAAATGTGTTACCACTACACCGCCGAACCCGATACCTTTTATATGACCTTAAGATTACAATGGGAGAGAGGGGCATTCTACACACACCCCCGCACTCTACTTGGTAAAAAGTCCGATACGGACTTTCTCGCTCAGACGTGCAAAACTTCCCCGCGTATTACACTTGGAGTCCCCTTTCATCTCTGGAGGAAGGATGACTTCCTCGCCGGTATGAGATCTCCGCCCATATATATTTGGGATCCCGACCCTTTATCGATCGTCACACACAAAGGGAGTGACTCCCGATGGTGAAAACGGCGGGATTCCACCTTTATGGAACAGGAATACTCTTGGATAGGAAAGACGACGTCGGCAGCGTCGTAACCATCCCGTTTTTCTCTCCGTATGTTTCACCCATAGGCTTGCATGAAGAGTGGTGGAGATGGACTCTAGGGACGATACGCACAGGGTCGCGATTGATGCTGGATACGACTACCACTCATTAAAAGTCAGTTTCGTAGGCGTGAATAAACCCAAGGGGAAGGGGGCTGGACAAGACGTATAATGTCCGAACGGCTGCCGCGTCGAGCGGTGAAACGAACGTCAAAGGTATTCAGTACTTAAGTTCGTTTTACGAAGTAAACGTTCAAAGGCAAACATAGGCTGAAGAAGACGAAGGTCGACCACAAGGTGCATGATAGAGGTGTTGGCAGGACTTGACAGGGCATCATTCAGTATTCAGTAGGAATGCTCCTATAATCCCGCATTACCTGTTCCTTTACTCCACCGATGGGCACCACAGGCCCGCTTTAAACTCAGTTAATCCCTTCGCACGTGTATTGCCTGCATTTTGCCTTGACCTATTCCCAATCGCTCTTTTCTGCCATTAGCCTAACCTGAAGTATTAGGCCCATACTCATGATTAAAAGAAGTCTTGAAACGACTCGATAAGGCTAACTTGTTTTTTTGAGAACCTATTATGTTTAATGTGTAGAGGCTTTTTTCCTGCGAGTAAGTATTTAGGAAAAAGTTGGGTTGAAAAAACCGGGGGAAAATCCCATAGGAGTGAATGGTGACTAGGCGCCATGAGTCCAATAAATATGGCTTCCAATTGCTGCACGTATGTCTATACTATTCCTACAGGTGCGCTATCTCCAGTTATTTTTCAGCTCAGTCGCTCCCCCATAGACAGTATTAAGTAAATGCAGCTCGACACGAGGCCATTAACGTTCGGAAACGTGTGCGACGGGTAGCGATGTAAGTAGCGTGAGGCCACCAATAAAAGTCCACATACCACATCGTCTTACGAGGGCACGAGTTAAGGGAACACCTTGATCTTTGGGTTGCCCTTCGCCTTCACTTGGCGTCGGTTCCCCATCCGTGGCAATGACGATTAAGAAAGCGCAGGAGCAGACCGAGAAATTAGGGTTGCTTTGCCGTGTCCAGTGTTCTCACTTGGCCAGCCAAGGGCCAGGGGGGGCGCGGGAGTGTGGCGACCACCTCCCATGGCCATGTGGCATTCATACCCTTACGAAAACGTCTTATAGGATTCCTATATATTCCTAAAGGAATATATAGGATTCCTATAGGAATCCTATAGGAACCTAAAGGAATCCTATAGGATCCTATATGCCCCATAGAGTTCAGTTTGGAACCTATAGAGTTCCCTATAGAACATATCGATCCCCCTATAGAACCTATGGAGTTTCCCATAGAACCTATAGGGTTCCCTATAGGCCCAATAGGGTTCCCCATAAGGCCTATAGGTTCCCTATAGGACACAAAGGGTTCTGTATAGGATCCTTTGGTTTCCCTATAAAACCTATAGGGTTCCCTATTGGACATGTAGGGTTCGCTATAGGACCTATAGGATTCTCTATAGGACCTGCAGGGTTCCCTATTGGGCCTATAGGGTTCCCTATAGTGCCTATACGGAACCCTATAGGACCTATAAAATGACAGTCTTGTAGGCCTCAAGCGTTGGGGTGACCGCCACAACCACAACTTTCGGGCTCTTTGAATTAAAGCATGCAATTTGATCTCATAGAATCCCTTTACAGGTCCCAACAGTCGTTTCAATATGATGTATGACGGTCAAATGAAACGACGAGAAGCATCGATTCAGGAGCTTTTCGTTGCCTCCCCTAGCATCGCGACGGAAGAGAACAAGAGAACAACGATGGTCTCACCGAGCAACTGGACGACGAAGCGCGGGAACCAGCAGACGATGAAGACGACCACCATGACGGCCGTCGTCTTGGTTGCCTTCGCCTGCATCCGCACCTTCCTGTCCTGGTGGTCCTTGGACCTGACCGAGAAGACGCTCTGGATGGAGATCCACGGCCTCGTCAGCACCTCGTCGAAGTTCATCTTTCGAGGGAGGAACGAGACGCGTCGAGGACGCTGCATGGTGTTGCTCGTCGTCGAAACGCTGAAGAAAAAATAGTTTTAAAAAATGTATCTGTTTCCTTGAAATCCAATGCAGGGAAACTGTTCCCTTTGTACTAGACGTACTTCTACTGAAAGTACGAGAGAGATTCGAGTGCTCAAAGTCCCTATAACGTGGCGTCGAAAGAGACTTTTGGGGAATAGGCGAGGCAAAATGAATTAGCGAGGACTTCTGCGCACGAGATTCCCCATCATTTAGCGTTACTTCAGTTATTGAGCCCGGCTGTGGAATGGAATGAAAATCATCCCACAACCCGGAAAGTATCTCGGCTACAGCACCCGAGAGAGATAGAAATTCCGAGAAAAGCCTGGTTCCCTTTCGCTGCACCGCAGTTCGCGTTTGTCTCCTGACATGCGGTGACGGCGGCGACCAGCCCAGACTCCTCATTTTTTGTACGTTGATGAATGCCCTGGGAAAGCATCCGACTGACTCGTCCTCTCTCTTGACAGCCGGAAGGAGGCAATGCACGCAATCTAGATTCCCTGTCTCGTCACTCTCATCTTCTCCAATGTCCCCGAAGCGATAGAGTTGATCGAAGAGGACATCGCATCCTGTCCAAACCGATTAAGCTGCTCTGTTGCCCCCGTTCTTTCCATGAGCGCAAAATATAGATTTCATCACCCTGTTTAACGTCAAGGCATTGCAATAATCCTTGATTGAGTACAAAAGTACCAAGTAATAAGAAAAAACCATAAAATCGCACAGATCAACAGAGAAAAAATCTGTTGCCCCTTGCGAGCGAGGAGGCGAAAACCACGATGAGCCTCAACTTTTCACGCGTCATTTCGTGGTTGTTGACAAGCTTAATAGATTCGGCGTGTCAGCCGTGAAGTGGATGTGGCACGAGGAATGAAAAACAGTATATTTTTAAACTGGCCGGCGCAAGAGTCAAGGAAATCTTCAACTCGCGTCCTCACACATCCCGATCGCAATGAATAAATGTTTCTTCTGGAACTGCTGCGCGAGGGAATGCGACTAAAACACAACCTTCATCCGGAAGACCGAAGATGGTGGAATTTTACCGCCTCGATCCGACACAGAACCTGAAAAGCTCGGTCCCCCCGCTCGATTCCATTTTCCCTTCAATAAAGCGGCGTTCCTCCCATCGCGATTTTTCTCACCGTGGAGATTCGGACGATCCCGATTCCTTGAGGGAACTGCTCCGCAAAAACGCACGAATCACGCGTGAATATCCACGTATATCGTTAAGCACAGGTTCTCGACAACACCGATCAATTGGACGGCAGGAATTTAGGTTCGTCTAACCAGTTCGAATTAACACGTCGGGTATGCGCAGTTCGTCTCGACATTCCACGAACGCCTTTTAAGTCGAATGTTCCGGTCTCACCTCTGAGTGTCGTCGAACGACACGGTGGAGTGTCGATGCCGGTTGGGCAGGTGATCGCAGGACCTCATATTCAACGTTCCCGACGGAAATTTCTATTGGCTTCGTCGACGATAAAGGTACGATCCACGTGGCTGAAACTGGAGTCGAAGCTCCGGTCACGGACCTGATCGACGGACGGGGACCGCTTCATCGAAGTCGTGCTGGTTTCCCAACGATGGATCCTCAGGGACTCGGTATCCGATTCGTCTTGCATTCGCCTCAAAGCCGCAACGGCTTTTCGATACACTTTCCAATACAAGACGAGGAGGACGAAGGAAGGAATGAGGATATTTACGATGGCTCTGAAGATGATGTACCTGGCGTCGACCGTCACGGAGCAAAATTTCATCTTGGTCGGTTTTCCCTCCAAGTCAACGAGTACTCCCAGGCTCATCGCCAAGCTGATGATCCAAGTGAGGGCGATGGCCGATTGCGTCCGGAAACGGCTCNGTCGGTTTTCCCTCCAAGTCAACGAGTACTCCCAGGCTCATCGCCAAGCTGATGATCCAAGTGAGGGCGATGGCCGATTGCGTCCGGAAACGGCTCATGATCCGGTCGTGCGATAGTGGTCGACTCACTCCGATGTATCGGTCCACTGCAATCACGCACAGGGATAATACCGTCGCTCCGCAACATAGTTTATCCAGGAAGGCCCAAATATGGCAGAATGCATGGCCGAACTTCCACTCTCCACCGAACTGAACGAGTGCCGAGAACGGAAGAACCAGGAGTCCCGTCACGGTGTAACTCACTGCCAAGTTCCCCGTGAGGAGATGCATGGGGCTCCTCATGGACGGCGTGACCTTGATCACGACCAGCACGAGCACGTTTCCGACGACGGTCAGGACGATGAAGAGAGCGAGGACCACCGCCATGCCGAAGTCGAAGGTCTGAAACATCCCGGGGAAGTTAAG